TCCTGCCCACAAGCCTAGAGCGGTTCGAGTCCATGGAATGACACACCGGGCTCATTGCACCAAAATTGGGCCAACGAGCCATTTCTTTTCATAGGCAAAAAGGATACTGTTTCAACCACCTTGTTGGCTTCCCTTGGGGAATCCAAAAACCAAAACAGAACGGGTCCGCTGGATTCCATGGGTGGGTGTTGAAATTCTGGGAGAAGTCTCCCACTCCAAAAGAATACCCTCAGAATCATCACACGCCAAGGCTCCATGTGCGAATACGCCTCCTTAAAACATGCGCAAATTTAGTGACAGAGTCCCTTTTAAACCAGGCGAAAAAATAAGCGTATTCGTTTTCAGCAGTGATAGATTCCCTAAAATACCAACAGGGCGAAAACATATTATTGAGCAACTGGAAGGAGTCATAGCCATTTCGCGGACATAGTCATTTCAGCCAAGGAAAGCCAAGGTGCCCATTTTTCACTCGCTCAAAGACAGGCCTCATCGACACCCAGCAGCCACCCCTCGCCTTGGTTTTCGGCCCAGATCAAACCCTTCAACCTCTTGGTGAAAATGAGTATCTTGTTTCAGGATTTGGACCGGATTTGGATATATCCCCCAAGGGTGGATGTCCCTTTGGCGAAAAAAGGTAGTACCACGAGCCACCCACATGTGCAAGTACCAGCCCGTTTTGCAATGTTTGTGTCACTTTTGTACCACCACCAAAAGGGCACCGAGCCTGAACAAAAAAAGGAAAACAAGGCACATGGCAGAATCGCAGGTTTAAGCATACTTGGTGGGATGGCAGTCTGATCGCCAGGCACAAGAAAATGCAGCCAAGCTACCCAGGAAGTGAGACCGCTTGTATGGGGAATCCCCTCAAACATGGCTGGCGGACAACAATATTCATCTACACGATGTCCACAAAGGATGCGCGCTCAGAATTCCTACTGAGTCCAAAAAAAAACATGAGTTGGCCAAAGAAAAGAGCAGCAGTGTCTATAACTCTGAACAAATGAGCTCGTCGCCCCAAAGTTATGGGTACTTCGCCGCCCCCCACCATGCTTGTAGGCAATGAGACGTGAAACCCCCCAAAAGCGTGCCGCGGACAAAACATAAGGATGGCTGTAAGCAAAGGACCCTAGCCACCTGAAGGGGATCGCCCATTGGACACGCAAATGCCAATTGACCAAGAAAAATGGACCCCTTCTTCTTTTGTTACTTTCGGATGAGCCTCGTCCGCTATTGCGGTCAGCCATGTAAATTCTGCTGCGTGCATTGTTGAGGTCATTCCCCCTGAAACCAGTCCGAGCACATGTTGGTTTGCACATAGGGGTCCCAAGAAAGGTCCAGCGATTCAATTGGAAACTCCCTGGCTAAGGTCAGGCCACCACTCAGAGGATGCCCATTGAGGACAAACATCGCGCCCTTCGCGTCCGAAAGGAATCCATTGAGCGCGTCTAGGGTCAGCGCACCGAAGGGTGGCAATGTTTTGTTTTTGTTTTTAGGGAGAAAGAGATCCTCACTAAAAGGTGAGGCCCCTCCCCCCCACCACTGTTGGTAAAATAGATGGGGCTCCCTGATAAATGGATGGCATAAAGCCCCATCTATGTTCGGGGGGGGTCATTTGCCTCGCTCAGCCTGGGTCCGCTAAGCACCTCCCCAACCCCGAGCTCGCTGCCCAGATCTGGCACCACCTTCCTCGCCAGCGGCAAACTCGCCGGGAGCCTCGGAAGTCGCAGGCGTGTTGCTTGATGTGCCCCCTACAGAAACATGTTCAGCTTGGTCTTGGTGTCTTTTGGTTGTCCCTTCCTTCCCTTCGGTGTCGATTGTGCCGCCGCAGAAAGGGGGAGCCTTCAAAGAAGACATCCCATCATTTGAGATGCATCCCCGTTGAATTGATATTACCTCCCCAAAAAGAAACAAATGGTGTGCGGTTGGTGTTCCTCGAAACAAACCGCTCATGGTTTGCCCTTTTTGGATGGTTCTGCTAGAATCAGCTAGAGTGGTTCTTTCTGGGTTCATAGGTCTGGTTCCTTTGTTGTTTCTAAAGGAAAGCCTCAAAGTTCGCGGCTTCCCCTGCAAACATCACCTATGTCATGGAACCAGGTCAGAAGATGGTTGAAAGGGGGGCAGATGAAAAGGTTCGCGCACGAAGGGCGTCGCACAACTTTGCATGGCAAAACCTCAAAATGGGTCTGTCGTTTCATAGGGCTACCCCGGGTGGTTTGAAGGGACACCCGAAGGAAAAATCCACCATTTAATTATATTGTTGCTGTTGCTTCTTTCTATTTTTGGGGGAAGGTCCTCCAAAAAAATCACCCGAGAAACTTGGAACCCCCCTGCGAGTTGGTGGTGTCCCTGTGGTTTCCCTTACCAACCCCAAAAGGGTAGCCCCAGAAAATGACACACCCACCCGAAATCCCCTTTCCTCCCAAACAGTGGCAACGCGAACTGGGTGAACGTTGCACCAGTCCACAAAAGGACGTGCCTCAACTTCAGGTTGATCCGGAAGGCAACTCCACCTAAACTGAGTGAATTCCCCCATGAACAGGGACCAACCCTGATTGGTTCGGGCCCCCGGACTAATCAAAAGCTGACATGAGTTGGGCTGGTCCTGCCGTGGACGAACAAAACAACCTGCGCCAGCTTGGTAGGAGGTTTATCTCAATGTTCAAAGGGTCTTATCCATCCCGGCGTGGATATTGTAGCCATCCACCGCCATTGTGCTTCCTTCCCCATGCCAACGGGCCCAACCCCCCTCGCAAGCCGCGAGCGCTTCCCGTTTTGTCGAAGACACGTCACGGCGCCGTTCGAACGGGAGAGACATGCGAAGAGCGTTGGGAAGTCCCTTGCAGACAAACCACTGTCAAACATGGTGGCTTTCCTTTCGATTTCCCTGTGAACCAACCATTTAAAAAGGTTCCTCCCAAAAACAAACACACACACACACACACATGTTGTGTTGATTTTCTTTTGGGCTGGGCAAGATAGCTCGCTCTTCGCCACAGCCACTCCCGGCCACTTTCTGCAGCCACTCCCGGCCTCAAAAGAGTTTGTCTCAAGCATAATTACCCATGTGTGGCATGTGTCAAACTAGGGGTGGCTGTCCTTTTGGTGTTCCTTTTGGGCTCCAAACATGTGCCCAGGCAGGGAGCCCCCAAAATTGTGGTTGTCTTTCTGGTTTCCCTGTAGAATAAAAAAAAAAAGTACCGAGCCTCAAAAGAAACCGAGCCACCCATGTCGCTGGGAGTTTCCTTTTGGTTCCCCCACAAATCAACCCCATATGTGTATTGAAGGTTCCAAAAGAATAAACGTTTTTGTCGAGTCCTTTGTGGCAAGTGAGGCAGACCTCCATTTCCCCAAAAGTTTACTTTCTCGGTTCTGAATGCAACGCACAAATCTGTCATCCGGCAAAGGGATACCAAGAGGAGTGGCTACAAGCAACCGGGGTTCCACAAAATATAGGTAAGTCAGCAAAAGCGGGCTTGAGCCGGGGCCCTTTGACAGCCACACGTTCACTGCGCTCCAATCTTTCCCCCCGGGCCAATCCACTCTCTGTTTGCTGGCGCGCAGGGTTGGGTGGAATTGGCTCAGGACCCACATTTCTAGGGCAGGGCTCCTCTATTGACACATTTTGGGCTCCATCTTCATCTTTCGGGGAGTACGGCTTACTTAAACCCCAAACAGGGTACCCTCAACCCAGACAGCTTAGTGTCCGGTCTAAATTTAGGGAGTACGGTTGAGTGAAACTCAAAAAGGGTACCCTCAACCCAAACACTTTGGTTTGCCTTTACATCAACACGACAAAAAGCCAGAATGCCTTGCAGATTTACTCGCAACCCCAAAACCATGAGCTTTGTTCAGAGGATCTTCCTCACAAGCACGGACAAACCTGCCCGTCTTGCCAGCAAATGGCGCTATCAGCGCCTGCGCTGCAGCACCCAGCTGAGCTGTGAGCTGCGGGGGAACGCTCGCTGCACTCTGCAGCTGAAAACGAGAAGTCAGGCCGCCATTTGCTTTTTCGTCCCATGGGGGAAAAAAAACATAGAAAATATGTTCAGCAGTGGCACATCCCTTGAAAACTAACAGGGTAAAACATATTGATTTCAGCAAATGGAAGCAAGAGAGTCGTCATTGAGATCCAAGCCCAATCTTCCTCGGGGAGAAAAAGGGGAGGTTTCTCTCATCAATAAAAAGAGTGAGGTCATATCTCATATCTCGATATATTTTGCCGAGGTAACTAAGTCGCATATGAATACGGGCTTTAAACTAAAATGCTAGACTATCTATCCCCTTGTTGGCTCCTATGCGACATTAGACAAAAAGTCGGCTTCTGCGCAAGTACGACTAATTGGGTAGTTCTTCCTTGTGACCTACACTTGAAACATATTGCCAATTGTAGCAATGTTGTTCGCTTCCGCATTTGTTGTGCTATGGGAATGTTGACCCAGGATGAAAAAACCCGTCACATTATAGGGGGGGGTTCCCTTCAAAAGTGATGAATCCCCATTAAAAGGGGACACCCCCGTATTAATCAACCGGGGGTTTAGTAATCCGGGGTTAACCTTATCTTGGATCCACATCTCACATGTCCGGTCATGCTTTAGCCCCTCAAGAATTCCACCCCAGGCCCTGGTCGCCGATTTTGGAGGCCTTTGGTCAGCCCATTCGCATCCATCAGAGCCTAAACGACACGTCCCAACCTCATGTGTCACATGTTTTGGACCCTGGAAAAAAAGCGGCTGACAGATCTGATATTCAACATGGCCTGGCAGCCTTGTCTGTTTTTGAGGGTACCTTTTGGCGGTGTGTTAACGGGAAGCCAAAATAGGAAACTATCCATTTTGGGTAGCCCTATATGGGCAGGATCTGTTAAGTTTCGGAAACTCCGGTGGAGTTCATTTAGGTGGGGGTTTCTGTCCACCAACCACTTTTCCAGCAGGTTCCTTGTTTGAATTCATGGCCATAGCCACGGCAAAAATGTGTTTTTTCCTTTGGGCAACCCATGGATCTCAGCGGAGGTACGTCACGCAAACCGCAGCGGCCACGAGGTCCAGAATCGCCCCCATGCCGAAGAGGATGGTGTCGGACCCAGCCTCCCCCGAAAGCCATTCGAACGTTTCATGGGCGCTCGTCTTTTTTAAGGCTCAGTACCCCTTGTTGCTTGGCTTCAAAGGGAAACCAAAAGGAAACTGAAGCCAGTTTTAGTTTATTAGTTTGGGAGCTCCAACCTTCAAAAAAACAGAAACCAACCATTTTGGGGGAGTCCAACCTTTAAAAAAGATAAACACCCTCATATCTTTCAGCCGTTGATCCGTTTTCTTCGGTGCCAAACCACCGGGAATGGTTTACAACTCCATTTGCTCATTTGCGCCCTGGAAAAAATTGGGAAACATGTCCAAGAATGATAGATTCCATTTCGCACAACCTAAGAACGCCATGGTTGAAACCATTGTTTGTTGGTATTTACAGGGGAATCATCATTCCAGGGTTTCTTAGGTGGTGCAGGATTTGACACTGACAGGGGACGATAACAAATTATTCGTTTCAGCAAATGGAAGTTTGTTGGTACGTGGGCTTGTTGGTACGTGGTCCGACGAACATGGGGTGACCAAAAGGGGAAACCAACAAACAAGATGATGTGTTTCACCACATGGGAAGATCATTTGGGGCCGAATCGAAAACTGATCAACCTCCACGTGTCATGCCGAACATTTGCCCAGAGCCTATGCCAAACATTTATTGTGTTTCCGAAGGCTCCGGCAACCTGGCTTCGCAAACCTGCCTGCCGGTGCGTCAAACAACTTTCGGTGTGCAATTTCCGTGTGACAATCGGAAGTGGGCTCAAGGTCACATTGTTGGAAACGGAGAAGGGTTCAACTGTTTATACCCTGCCGAGGCGTTTTCGTGCATTTCCGGCTCAGCAATGTCCGCGACAACATAGAGCGAGGCACAAGCCCTTCCTAAACAGAACCACGCCTCTGTACCGACACCAGTGCCCTTACCTGAACGCCTGATCCCTAAAACGAAGCCTGACCCAGAACGCAACATCCATGCCTCCCAAACAACTTTTTCTCCCCAAACCAACACCTATCCTAGACTGTCGCTCCCAGCTTCCTAAACACACCATACGTGCCCTCTGAACAAACCCCCCTTCCTGAAACGGTTAACGCAATGCCCGTGAGCTGTGCTTGTCTTCTGAAGACTTCAAACGTTGAACAAATCCCGTTTTAGTGTCTCAAACCTGAAAAGGGCGCTTCACCGTGGCTGGCATCTCTTGAGGATCCGTGCGCTGAAGGCATTGAAGCTGGATCCCTTTCGGTGACCCATGGAGACACTCGCTGGTTCTCAGAGAATGAGCCTATCAACCACTCCCGGTTTCCTTTGAGGGAATCCCCCACCGGTTCAACGCCCGTTCTCGGAAAGTGATTCCCTATCGCACCAGCAAGAAACATCGAAGGTCACATCAAAGGCTCGGGTAGCATAGGTGTTACCGGAAGCTGCCTTGATCCCACTCCCAGGCTGACACTTGCCCCCGAAAGCATCGAAGGGAACCTTGGCCACACGCGTGGCTTTTGGAGAAGACCCCAAGACCTTTCCCAGTGGATCCCAGTTGCAAGCCAGTGGGTAACCCTTCCACCCGTTTTTCTTGTGTATGTTTTTGTTAATCTCAGCATTTCAATCCATTCTCCATGTGTTTTTTTTTGGGGTGGGTCCACTCCACTCTCCACTCGGCCCGCGCCGCAGCGGAGAGGCTCCCCCCGAAGAGCGAGACCAAGAGCTGGGGGATGCAGAGCGACACGTTGAGGTACCCGTTCAGCTCACCCAACAAGTCCTCGCCACGCTCAAAGGAGGTTTACGGACGCTCGGAAAGGGCGACTCTGAGGTTTTCCTGGTTTGTGGGGTAGAAACACGGCTCTCGGAAAGGGCGACTCTGAGTTCTTCTCTGATTGGGTAGAAAACGGTTTTTGCGGGGGAGTCAGCGAGGCCTGGTGGTTGAGGAGAAATTGGTGTGAGCCTGTAGGCAATTTGGATGGACTATCACCTTTCCCCAAGTTGGTTTGGATTGCTGGCTTGAACCTTGGTACCTTCCCCATGCAAAATCTGGGGTTCAGTACCTGACAGCAACTTTGACCTCCAGTTGAGACCCTCGAGGGTCTAAGGCACCCCACCCCTCAGCCAGGAGAACCCTGAGACCTCCATCCGTTCGATCAGAACTCAAGCCCTCTGGGCGACGCCCAAATTGTGGATGCTTCTTCGGCACAAGCCCAACCGGAGCCCAGAGTCCTACCCTCTTTCCGACCATCGTGGAAGTGGAAAGGGGGGCCCCCCAAAAGGAAAGCGGTCTGACCAAGACCCTCCCATCAGCTCCAATGATTATTGGCGCGAGGCTAGTTCTCTGGAAACCAACTGTTGCAACAAAGCTTACCAACCTGACATGCGCTTTTTGGTCTATATACTTTTGGTCCCCCAAAAGGACAACCCACAGTTCATATGACTCCTCCTTGACGCTGGACCACGTAAAGATGACAAATATGTTGGGGTCTCAGAAAATGCTGAAGGTATTTTAAGGTTGAACTAAATATGAAACAGAATCATAACATACTGTAGATGGTTGCAAATCCATTTCGCACCACCAGCTTGAAGCCATGGTTGAAACCATTGTTGGTTGGTATTTACGTTGGACATCGAGTCATAGAGTTTCTGAAACTGAAGTGAAGATCGATCCCTTGCGGGGGTTCTCCAAAAGCTCTCCACCTTGGATGGCTGTTGCAAACTGCAATTCGCCGCTGCGGATTGCGGCCAAAAGGAAAAAATAAGATAAGAATACGAGTAGTGCACCTGAAACCCATGAAACCCTATGAATAATGGAACAACAGCCCTTTCTCCCTACTCCATTTTTTCGATTTAAGGTACCATGTCAACCCCTGACCAAAACAAGTTGCATCCATCTGAAAAACTCGGCTTTCCAGAAAATACCCTAAGCACATATCCATCTTTGAAAACCCGGTTTGCCAGAAATGAGATATATCTACCTTGGACAAAACCCGGTTTTCCGGACAAGGAACGGCAGTAGTCCCCCCCCAAAAAAAAAGAAGACAGAAAACAAGGCGGGGCCTTGGGCGCTTCTTCGGAGACCACGATAAAGGGGATGGTCTGCTGCACCCCGTACGCCGGCCCCAGCATGGCCAACCAGAAGCTCGCACCCAACTCGCGGCAGATCGAATCGAATCGGACTCCATCGGATTTACATGCTAGGTCCTCCAGTAGAGAGGTTAGAATAAGGGTACCTTTTTCTGTAGTCTACTTTAGTAGGCTGACAAAGGCCCTAAGCGATGCATCCACCCAGCTGATAGCTCCCGTAGGTTGATTGGGATCTCTGAGGCATCCGCAACTTACTCGCCCTTTTGCCATTCTCCAAGACACATGCTAGCGGCAGTTGAAGAAGTAGCAGCACAAAACCGCTTCAGCTGGGGAGAACTCCGATAAGCAAAGGTCTTTGCTCTGCCCTTGGGTATATTAGTCCAACGGTCAATGTTAATGTATTTCAGCGGAACTACAACTAAACTAACGAAACTAGAAGCAGCCCAATCCGCTCTTTTTTCTTCCCTGTGGGATGCTTCTGAAAAACGCCCATTTTTGGTGGGTTCCCGAAATGGGGATGTTTGGTTTTCATCAACTAGTGTGCTGAGGCTGGGGCTGTTTCAAGACAAAGAGATGCGGGTGTGCTCTTTTTTCGGGAAACCCAAATAGTGAGTTTCCTGTTGGTTTCCCTTCAAAGCCACCCAAAAAGGGGTGTTTCCCCCCAAAAGAAACTAAAACACACACACACACACAGACCCATATGCGGGTGGTGCTCTTGGGTTTGGATTCTGCTGCTGCCTTGGGCACAAAACTCCAATTGGCCCATCATGGAAAGCCTCAACGCCTCTCGGCTGAAGTCCTTTGGGCCTCAAGGCTTGGAGGAACAAGCCCTGAAGCCTGAAGCCGCACCTCCTGTGACGAAATAGCTCATCTTTAGTGAACCAAACTGTGTGACTAATTTCCGTATATGACAAGTCCCAGCGCAATGGGGATGGTGTCAAAATAGGGCAATCCCACAAATGAAACCCGCCGTCCCCTTGGCTTCCCGCCAAACCAACCCGCGCCAAAAGACAAAAAGAAATCCAGCCCTTGGAAAACAAAGGCCCCCCCCAAAAAAAAAAGCACCCCGTTTCAGCACCACACCACCAATTCGGCTCCCAACGGTACCCTTCAAGGAACCTTGGTGTGACCTGGTAAATAAAACCTGCGTAACCCCACCCACCTGGTTTCGGGTCAAAAATGGGTACCCACAATTTAACCCTGGTAAATGGACATTTTTTTGACCCACGGCCACCTGACCTCCCGTCTTCCCGTCTTCCCGCCTTGGCGTGGTTTTTGCGGATCAGCAGGGTTGAGGCCATGAGCAGCGACGTGAGCAGCGTGGCCGCGCACCACAGCCGGGCCTTCCCCATGACGTGGATGGCCTCATCTAAACCAAAAACCCTCCAGCTTTTTCAAGCAAGCCAACCAAAAAGGACACCTATCAGATTGGTTGAGCACGGAGCTTGGTGAATAACCCCCACCCTTCCCTCTCAAGGCCGACTTGGGGTTTCCAAGAACACCTTCCAAGGAGTACTCCGGGCCAGTCCTCTCCGGCCCCGAAGTCTGCGGCAGTCCCACTGAGTCCCATTGACTTTTTGACTTTTTGACTTTTCGACTCTTTTTTTGCTGCCCCGAAGTCTGTGGGAGTTCGAAGGAAAAGTCCCGTCCAGTTCTGATGGACATCCAATGCACGCACCACTTTTTGCGAAACCCGAAAGAAACCATGGGATCAAGTACCATCTGGTGCGAAACGGAGTTTGTCCCTAGCACACGGTATGACTAGTTTGGCGCTTCTTGGAGGCTTTCTTGGTGCCCAAGAAAGTGGAGAAAGTGGGTGTAACCCCCCC